ACACCCGAACCCTCGCCGCAGGTGCAGGTGCCCGGAGAAGGTGCGAGGCGCCCGCTTCAGTCCCTCCCACCCCGCCCGCCGCGGAGCTGGCAAATGGCAGCGCAGCCAAGTTCCTACTCGTAGGGGCTCATTAACATATGAGTTCTCCCCTCAAGACTTCCTGGCTTTTAGGAGCGGCTGCTGCTGCTTAGGGCAGCAGATTACCCGAACCCTCGCCGCAGGTGCAGGTGCCCGGAGAAGGTGCGAGGCGCCCGCTTCAGTCCCTCCCACCCCGCCCGCCGCGGAGCTGGCAAATGGCAGCGCAGCCAAGTTCCTACTCGTAGGGGCTCATTAACATATGAGTTCTCCCCTCAAGACTTCCTGGCTTTTAGGAGCGGCTGCTGCTGCTTAGGGCAGCAGATTTATTTTCATTGGTAAATAACAGCAGAAGTAAAGGAGATAGGTTCCTCGATGGACGTCCTCGAGAACTTTCGTAAGGGTTTTCGCAAACCGGCTGAGTGAATATCACTGTTCAGGCACAGGAAAACGCCCCGCACGCGTTCAGGTTAATCTTGCTTCTGAGCTATTTATAGGAGCACCAAGAGAAAGTAGAACTGGGCTCACGTGTCTGTGGAAAAGACAGAAGCCAAAAGCGACCTCAAAGCGAGCCCAGCAAGAAAGGATAGATTAGTAACAGGCAGAGGTCTGATGTCTTCTGAATTACCAATCAGAGTTTTTGAGTTTGCCTCATCACCAGATGAGGGATGCCCAGTAAGGGAGAGACACACGGGGTTTAAAACGTCATCAGTTTCTAAAGTGCTGTCCCATAAAAGCTACAAAAGGTCCACCAATTTCTTTGATATTCTAGTTTTTCTTTTGGTTCCGGGGATTGAACTAGGGACCTTGCGCCAGGCGGTGGAACCACTGAGCTAAATCCCCGGCCCTGATATTCTATTTTTTTTTAAATCCTGAGCCATCAGGATTCCATGGGAGTGACTTGCAACATACACATTTCTGCTGTATACAACAATACAGCGGAACAATAGCCTACTGTGACTGACTTAAAAACACACAAGCTGCCAAAAATAGACCAGTCAAGTAAATAGCTCTGTGGTCGATTCTGTTCTCTGCTGCAAAGCAAGGCAGGTGAGAAATGGATTAAAAAAAAATTTTTTTTTTTAAGTGGCAGAGACCAAAAAAGTTCTGGGTCCGCTGTTAGAATAGGTTGGTGGCATAGATTCAGACAACACAGTTTTTTTTTTTTAATTCAAATAAACTATCAGCCAAATGGATTCCAGTTTTCAAGATGATTCCCCAAAAGTTATAATGCAGAACTGGTCTACCCTTAGGGTATGGAGATTTGCAGAAGACTTCAAAGGTTACCACTTTCCCCTGTGGATCTGTGAAATTAACCATGAATACCTGAGTCAGATTTCCTTTTCCCTCCCTCACTCTGCTGGGGCTGCCTCGGGGAGTATTTCAGCCAACAGTAGCTGCCCGACAAATGTGCAACCAATTACTGATTTCAAACCACAAACTAGCCTATCACTAAGATACAGGGAGTATCACAGGTGAATGCACCCGCCCAGGCTGACCTTAGTCGGGATAATTATTAAAGGACAGCTTCACATGAATCGGGGAAAAATACTCCCAACCACATCAGAGCAGCACTTCTCAGTACAGTACCAAACAGGAGCCACCGGGCGTGTTTCCTCCAAGGTGGGTACTTGTAAATTCGGCTTGCCACGTTTTCAATAGGCACTGTCACCTTACTGGCCTATTATCAGTGTTTTCACTGATGAAGTAGTTTGGAGACAGTAAAGGCTTCCTATTAACTTTCAATCTGAATGAAACTGACTTTGGTCGGGTCTGAAAGCCACTGCTATTGTCAAGGGTTTATGCAGAAGGCGGAGTAGGACCCCCAACCTGGGTCCTTTTGTTTCAGCCAGGTGAAATATGCACTGCTCGCTGATAACACTGGCCGGGCGTTGAGAAAGAAAACCCAGAAATCCTCAGGGCTTCATTTCCTCCATCCAGGTCTCCACCGTCACCTCCACAGAAAGCCTCCAGTGCCCTACCCCAAATTATCACCCTTCTATTTGCAGCGTTCGTCTGCACACCACTTCGCCTGGCCTGGTATTAGGTGTTTATGCATGGGTTGTTGTCTTCTCCCCGGAAGTTGGGGTTTGGGGCTCGCTAGTATGTAACACCTAAGTGAGCGACTAATCCCACTTGCTATCTCCTCAGGTCCTCGCAGGGACATCAATTCCCTGCAGAGTGTGCTGAACTACCCTGTCCTCATGAAAGAGGCTAGAATAAAGAAGCAGAAATATGCCAAGGTCAGAGAAATAAAGAGGTCGTATTTTGTTTGGCAAGTGCCAGTCGGTGCACGGTCTGGAAGAGACAGAAACGGTACACTGTGTGGAAAGGAAACCTTAGAGCGAACCCCTGGCTCCCGGTCCCTCACACACAGTGACCTGGGAGGCACTTTCCGCACCTTATCCCTGTCTTTTCATGTGCTAAATGGATCTTTTCCGTTTTAAGGCTAAGAGTGCTCTTGGTTGCACACATTTGCAAAGGTCTATAAGCAAACGCCTGCAATGTAGATGCATTGCAGCGATCAGATAGATGTCTAAATTTCCAACAGATCAAAGGCTCCAGTATTCATCATGACATCTCACTCGCCTAAACAGGAGAAGCAGCTGGCAAATGCAATAATAAGGATGATGACACTTTCGGTCTTCAGGGAGGCTATCCTCTAGGACAGCAGTTAGGTTCTTGGGACAATGTCTACACAGATAGCTAAAAGAATCAAGCCAGGTGTGGCAGAACACACCTGTAATCTCAGCCCTCAGGAGGCTGAGAGGCAGGAGGACCACTTCGAGTTCAAGGCCCGCATGAACATATCCGAGACCTTATCTCAAAAAACAAAAAAAGACCCCCTCAAAACATTATCATTGAAAGTTTATAAAATGTGTTACATTCTGATCGATTCTAAACATTTCTGTAATGTCTCAGATTGAACAGCAAGTGTACTCTGGTCGGTCCCTCTAGTTATACCATGAGCTGAGTCTATAGCATCCCTGGGGTAGGGCCACAAGGCAGATAGCAAGCTCTTCCTACAGTTAAAGGGCGTTATGGAGTTTTATAATAGGTTGCAGTTTCCCTGGGTCTCCAATTACTTTGGTTCCCCTTTGATTAAAGCAGTGTGATTAGAGACCACTGGTTCCTGGATATTTTCTATATCCCATCCCCTTAGATTTCTGCCCCAGTTCTCCAGCTCCCATCCCTCTCCCACCCCAGCTCCTCCTTCAGTGAAGCGAGTTTTCACTTCGAAGTACCCTGGCTGCCCTGTAACTGGGACAAAGCACTTCTTGAGAGTGTTTTTTGTTTTGTTTTGTTTTTCATCTCTGACAATGGGGAGTTGGACTAGTCAATGTTTAGAACTACTGAGCGGGGAACACAGTTCATTTCTAGCTACAATAGGACTTTCAAGTCTGGTTTGGTGGTGCACGCCTGTAATCCCAGCTCCTCAGGAGGCTGAGGCAGGAGGGTGATGACCTCAGCAACTTAGCAAACTCCTGTCTCTAAATAGACAAAAGTGAGTCAACTGATTTGAATTTCGATGTTTTAGTTCTACTAAAGGAATCTTGCCAGTCATGGTGGTGCATGCTTGTAATTCCAGTACTCTCAGAGGCTGAGGCAGGAGTTACAAAAGTTCTGGCTCAGCCTGGAACTCAGCAACGTATGGATAGCCTGTCCTAAAATAAACAATGGCTGGGGACACAGCTCAAGGAAGGCCCTGGGCTCAGTCCCATTACCACGGGGTAAAATGGGTGTGTATGTGCCCATGCATGTGCTTTACAAAATCATTATGACTGCAAATGAACTGGCTAACTTGCAATCTCTTCAGAAAGCTTAGATTTTTAAGCCACATACT